TTTTTTTTTGAATAAAGGAAAATTTTCAGGAAAAAGAGAGTATAGGATTTGATAATAAAACTCAGATAATTATATCTAATCATACCGTCCAAGAAGATGATCATTAAATCAGCAAGGGTTAAACCTCCTCTAATTCTGGTTAGTGGAAAGAAAATTAAAGGGGAGAAATCGTTGCGGGTTCATAAATAATAAAGCAGTGCTAGGGGCACTCGCCTCCTGCACTCTCCGGCCAACACTCCTCCTTTCATTGGGCCACGTTATTTTAGTTGGCAAGAGGTTCACTTCAGAGATTAAGCAACCTTACGTGGCCCAATGAAAGGGGGAGTGTTAGCCGGAGAGTGCAGGAGGCGAGTGCCCCTAGCACTGCTCTAAATAATATGCATTCATCATTTCACAGATAAGGCTGCCGTTAAATATCGTTTCAAAAAACGAAAAAAAAAGGCTGCCGTTGAATATCACTGTAAAATAAAGTTGTGCATGCATCAATTCCCAAGCTTCATTAATTATTGTCCCTTTTTTCGATATGACAACCATATACATATATACTGTACTTGAAGCTAAACTTGGGTAAAAGAGGAAGGAGATGGCCAATATTGAACTTCAAACCTACAGATGGTGTTCTCATTATAGAAGTGGCTTATATGACAACTATATACATCAGGGCGGAGGCAGAAATTTTTTTCAGGAAGGGTAAAATATTAAAATATTTAAAGTTCAGGGAAGATTAGATAATTTTTTATATATTAATTTACAAGATTTTCAAATTTCAGAGACGAACGCCCCCCTGGCTCCGCTACTAATATACATATATATTGTACTTGAAGCTAAACTTGGGTGAAAGAGGAAGGAGATGGCCAATATTGAACTTCAAACCTACAGATGGTGTTCTCATTAGACAAGTGGCTTTTGTCTTTTTCCTGGACCGGAGGGCAGGGAACATTAATTCTCATTCCTTCCGGGCCAAAAATTTGTTTTTAGTTCTCACTTTATTAAATTTAAAGATTTTAATTTTTTAATTTATTATGATATTTTTAACATTTTATCATATTAGATTTATAAATTTTAATATCTTATCTTATATTATGATATTTGTAGTCCCTTATTTATTAAAATTGAAAAAAATAATCATCATTTTGTAATATTTTGTTAGTTATAGTAGTTATCTGTTAACTCTATTAACTGATTGTTAATTAACTGTTAACT